AACCAAACCCCCTTGGGCCACAACCTAGAAAGGTTTAAAAGCCTCCTCAGGCAAATATCTTGTTCAAAAGAAACAATAAAGCCTCCTTAGGCCAAAATAAATCAAGTCTTAAAAATAAAGGGACAATCCCCAATTTAAAGTGGACACAGCCACTACGGAGCAGCAGCCACCTCGGAATCCGGCTCAACAGTCGAAGCTTCATTCGCGTCCTTGGCAGCTGCTTGATCAGATGAAGCTCCTTGACCACCCTCCGCGGTACAACCAACCTCCGGAGTGACCTCCGATACCATAGGAGCTACGGGCGGGACAACGTCCTCCGCCTCACTTGAGCCTAGGAATAATAATTCCAGTCAATCAAAGGTACAAGGTAAGAAAAAGGTAAGCCACGGAGCCAAGCGTTACCTACCCAGTTTAAACCCGATTCACTGATAAGAGGTGATTCAGTAAAGAATGCCTCGAAGTCAAGCGGGTTGAAGACCGAAGTGGGAAGAGCTGCTAAGCGACTCCGTTTTTCAGAAAGGTTAGTCGACAGCTCGGTCCTTTCTTGCTCCTCGGAGAAATCTGCTTCATGGATTTGGTCCAGCAGAATCAAGTTGCTTTCGTGCTCCTTGATGTCTGACTCCAAGTCCGACCTAGCTTTCTCGGTTTGCATGAAGCAAATGGCCCCTTGGATCAATTCCATCCCGCGTCCCTTAACCTCCTTTCTGGCCTTCGATGCCGACCTTGCCAACTCAGAATCACGCAACTTGGCTAGCGCCTTGTACTTCGCGTCAAGCTCGATAAGTTGGTTATTCAGGGTGTCGGCGGTTGATTCGGATTCGTGAAGTCTACCCTGAACACCAGACAGTTCGTCCTGGAGTTTGTAATTCCGGTCATAGTAGTCTTGCAGTTCCCCCTTTACCTGCGCCAACTCCGACGTCAACCTATCGACCTTATCCTCCAGATCGTGCTTAGAGCCATCAGAAGAGTTGAGGTCAGCCTCAAGAGCTGAGAATTTCTTCTTCCACATGTCAATCTCCTTCTCCCGTCCGATGACCAACCCTTCGTAATGTTCGATCATGTCGTTAAATTCGCTCTGAGCCTGGCATTATACATGAACCAGGGATGGTGAGTCAGTTCGCAGAATGGCAATGCAAAAAAAAAAAGAAAAAAAAAAACGGAACTAACCCGAGATGAGTGGTGAGCGTGAAGCAAATAGCGTTCACGAATTGCAGGGCGCCATTTGTTGAAATCTGGCAAGATCGAACCCGAACGGGTCTTGAAGCATCGGAAGACGCTGCCTTCTGTCTCCATAGCTGCGAGGAAGGAAGAATTGTAAAAATTGGAATTTCAATAAAGACAAAAAGTTGAAGTATGTAAATGACCAAACCTGAAAGTGATTTGACTTGAGGGACAAGAGCAAGTTTTAACCTCGAGGAAGCATCTCGAGATTCAGAGTCTCCCTTTTTCGGAGACGCACTCCGGGCAGTCTTTCCACTATCAGGCTGGGAGGAGGAAGACATATCAACCGGACGTGGAGGACCCATTGGTTCAGGAGGAGGAGATGATCGAGGTGAGCGGTCAGTTCGGACCCTCGACTTTTCCCTCTGCGGAGAAGAATCGCTGCGAGAGGACTTGTCTCTCTTCCGGCGAACCAAGTTCTTAATTGGCTCGTTACTAAAATCATCTCGGGGAGGACAAGGTGAATCACGGCGAGGAGATTGAACCCTCCGAGGAGAACGTGAGTCGCGACGATCGCGACGAGGAGTTAATCTGAAGGAAGCGACAGATCGAGCTCCCTCGGTGCTGCCATCATCAACCAGCAAGGTTCTACTGTAGTCCTTCTTGTCTATAGAAGTCGCGAGGAACTTTTTCTTCTCCTCGCAAGCCTCAGCCATCGGCTTGGAAAGCAACTTACGCTTGGCCGCAAGGGCCCGAGATGACATTCCTTGAGTTGAAGGAGGGGGAGGAATTTGGTGAAGATGACCAGGCGGACTCATCCTGAGTCTGTGGTTAGCTTCCAGGAATCGTTCAAGAGTGAAGGAATTCCAAAGGGTTTCCCCTTCAAGAATTATTTTGAAGAATTCGATGAACTCTTCAGATGGGAGGTTGGAAGCGATGAAAGCTGCGAAATGAAACAACGGTGTTAGTCAATAAAGATAAAGAAACAACCGGGAAAGATACGGGCAACCTAATCACTACCGGGTTTCGCAGACCACTTCGAAGGGAGAAAATCAGCGAGATTTCCAATCGAAGCGGGGGTTTTCTTAATTAGAAACCAAGGATGATGCCAATTTTCATCCTTGTTCGGAAGATGCGAAATGATGTTCCTGTTGGCATTAGGATATGCTGAGAAATATCCCGTTTTCTTCGATGAACTTCTCACGCTCAGAAGCTCATTTAGTTCAGCAACTCCGATAACATAACCGGCCTCCGCCGCGATTGTTATAATTCCAAGAATAGTACGGAGAAGATTGGAGGTTAATTGAGGAAGAGCGATTTCAAGAGCCGCTAGGTATAAAATTAGGGCTTCGGGAAGAGGAAAGGTCAGCCCGCAACCCTTGAAATAAATCTCATACACACAGAAGTAACCATCGCGATGGTTCTCTGGAGATTCTGTGGGGGAAGCTATTTGAGCTTCCGCCATAATTTCCGGCGGAATCCGGCAAAGCTCTCTCAATCGCTCGAGGGATTGAAGAGTACAAGTGGACCTATAATGCGGACCGGCAATGTCACCAGGGCGGGTGCACTCGTCGTTACTAGAACGCCTCTCGTCAAAAGACGGAGACTCGGGTCTATCGGAATCAGAAGTCATTGGTAAGAAAGAAAAATTCAAGATCCGGCGAAGAAGGGTTTTGGTGAAGGAACAAAGAGAGAGGTTTTGATTAAAGTACAAAAGTAAAAGAAGAGAGTAATGGTGAAAAGAAGTTACCTCAAGCTAATGATGAAACCGCCTCGGAAGTCGTGTGGGAAGTGGGAAGGTTTTTCCCGTTTTAATAGTAATTAATCAATATACGGTCATAATGATGACAGATGTCACTCGGTTAAAAATGGCTAGTGCCGAAATTAAAGGAGTGATGAGATTTTCGGCGGGAAATCAGAAAGATTCTCGAGCGCAATCTTTGGCCACTTGAGCATTTAAAGTCCTCCGAATTGGAATAGCACTTCGAAGAACTTGGGGGGCTAATTGTTGGTGTCGGATCCCGCACCAGAAGTACGAGACCAACCAAAGATTGCCACGTAATCAGGATAATGGCCCGTAAAGGATGAAGCCCATTGGATCCGTGAGCCGAAGGGATGGTCGAAGTGGTTGTCACCATTTCGAGAATCCGAAGTGACTGCACTGTGACACGAGTTCGGTGTAGAAGACACGGGTAAGTCGGTTCAAGGACACTTGGGCCAAAAGAGGCGAGGCCCATGAAGATCAGAGTCAACTCAAATTCAAACGTTGAGCATTAAAGCCGAAGAATCAAAACGGACGCATTTAAGAAGAAATAATTGTACTTAATTACTCATTTTAAATGTCGTTTAGCTATGTATAAATATAGAGGCCAGTGGCCATGTAAAGGGGATCTTCATCTCAAGAGAGAAATATATAGCAATTTTCGTATCAATTTACAAGTTCTTACGCATTCATTTTTGTCCCTCAAGAATTATCTTTCCCACTTAACAAAATACTTGAGTGTGTGAATCCGACATCCACACTCGAGATGATAACTCCATCTCGAACCGATCCCAGTTAGACCGATAATAAACCCCTTCTTGGGCCCCCATTACTCGGGTTAAGGAGAGGTATATCCGTATCCACTTTTCTAGGTCCACCAGAATTTGAACCTTGGGCTCTGATACCATGTTGAATTTTCCAAGTCCAAGACCAATTCTAATTCCCCAATAGTATGATATTGTCCGCTTTGGGCCAAGCCCGCACGGATTTGTCTGTGGGCTCCTTCCCAAAAGGCCTCATACTAGTTGGAGTTGGACTTCACTTATATATTATACTTTTCTTCTTCTAATCTTCCGATGTGGGACGTTGGTTTGACTCCAATAGATAATGTCAAAGCCGTGATCTTGGTAAGTATAACATCACTTCTTATCTATGTTTTTAATAGTTGCTTGCACCACAAGAAAATGTTTGCTTGTGTTACAATCTTCTTTATGTTTTTTGCGTTCCAAAAGGATATCGTAGTGGCGGGTACGGATACAGCAGCTGCGGCGGTTGTGTGGGGAATGACGTATCTAATGAAGTACCCTCAAGTGATGAAGAATGCTCAAGCAGAAGTGAGAGACTATATGAAAGAACAAGGGTTAACATTCGTTACTGAAGAAGACGTCAAGAACCTTCCTTACTTCAGAGCCTTAGTTAAAGAAACCCTAAGGATCGAGCCGGTCATACCTCTCCTTATCCCTCGTGCGTGCATTCAAGATACCAAGATCGCCGGTTACGACATCCCGGCCGGGACAACGGTCAACGTCAACGCCTGGGCCGTGTCACGTGACGAGAAGGAGTGGGGACCGAACCCTGACGAGTTCAGGCCCGAGAGGTTTCTTGAGAAGGAGGTTGACTTCAAAGGCACAGACTATGAGTTTATACCATTCGGGTCAGGCCGGAGAATGTACGTGCCCTGGAATCAGAGCCGGCCCAAGGCGATGAAGCATCAGCTTGCGGCCTTAAATTATATAGGTCTATAATCGGCCATATTTCACAAAAAGTTCATTTAGCCTAGTGGTATAACAGTGAAAGAGAGTCTATGATGTCATTAGTTCGACCCTCAAAACTCTTATTTATCTGTGTTTCCATTAAAAGTTTTTTTTAACATAACAAAAAATATTTTTGGGCTTGTGGCCTCATAATTCCCTGCGACGGCTCTGCCTGGAATGCGTCTTGGTGCGGCGATGCTTGAGGTTCCATATGCGAACCTTCTTGTAACAACCCATTTAAGGCCCAAGGCCCATCCGCTGAAGCCCATGAGGCCCAATTCTTTGACCTAGGTATCCTCCTCTATTCCTCTATAAATACCCTCCTCTATCTCTCATTTTTCCCACAACTCTCCTGAGTAGTATTACTCTGCAGAAATCTCGCCGAAGTTAGCACCACCGAACCGCCGTCCACCCTCTCCCGTAACCGAGCCGACCAAGCCAACGGAAAGCTTAGTCGAAGGTAACTCCTAAAACCGAGTTTTAAAGGTTTTAGTTTCGGGCCGTTTAGTATTTTCAAGATTTCTCCCTAACCACTTCGAATCTCGCAAAACCAAGGGTACCATCGGATTCGTGACGACGAGACGAAGCCGGAGACACCGAGCGCTGCCACCGCCGACGAGCCACACGCCGCCACGCGCCGGAAGAAGGAAGCGCGTGACGCCCACGCGCAGCCACGCGCCGCCGAGTCCTCGGAGCGTGGAGCTCACGCGCCGCCGCCGGTGACCGGAACCGCCGCTGTTCGCCAGAGCCGCCGTGACCGGCAGCCGTCCGTTCGCCGCCGGGATTCCGCCGCCGCGTCGTCGCCGGACCGCCGTCGCCGCCAGTGACTTTTCTGGTAAGGTTCGCCGGATTTGTTGCCGCCGACCGGTTTGGGTTAACCGGTCGGTTTAAATTGATTTAATCCGGTTGAAATCGATTTGGTCTTGGTTTAGGTTAACCGGTTGGTTTAAATCAATTGATTCTCGGTTTAGGATAACCGTTCGGTTTAAATCAATTGGTTCTCGGTTAAAGTTAACCGGTCGGTTTAAATCAATTGATTTCTGGTTTAAGTTAACCGGATCGATTTGACTGGTTGGACCGTTGACCGTTGACTGTTGACCGTTGACTTTGACCGTTGACCGTTGACTTTGACCAGTTGACCCGAAAACCGTTTTTCTTCGTTCGGACGCCGTTTGACTCGATTTTTCGTTCCGGTTTCAGATCCGGAGTCGGTTTATTCATTCGAGGTCCAGAAGTCGTAGGTTCAGCATTGCTAAGGTGAGGGCTATTTCCAAACCGCTGTGCTTTGTTCGAGAATCCTAATTTACGAATAGTGCAGCACTGAATGTGATGTGTTTCAATGATCGAGTCTAGTTAGTTTGATTGCTTAAATTGGACATAGGAAGATAGATGATTAAACCCATTTGTTTGTCACATACTGTTAAATGTTTTTTTGTTATAAATATATATATATATATATATATATATATATATATATATATATATATATTTTATGAGATATAGCGGATACAGATAAAGGAACTTCTGTATGGTGCCGCATTGTTTGAGGTAGGGGTGAGGGCAATGCATAATCGATCTGTTGCCCTGCACCTTAAGATCGATAAGCGTCCCAGGGGCGGTGTGAGTGGGCACTATCCCATGAGTTACCTCTGTGTGAGGGTGTGATTGGGCACTATCCCATAAATGATCTCGTTGAGGGTGTGATTGGCCACTATCCCTCCGTAGGAAAATTGTATGTTGATTGAGCACTGTAGGTGCTGTGTTTGCTCATATTTGGTACTCCATTATTTTGCGATTAGTTTTCTTGGCTGAGTCAGTGACATGCGGACTTAGCATCCCATACCTCACTGTGCGACTCCCCTGTTGCTCACCCCTCTTTCCCCATTTCAGGTGAGCCAGACGAGTAGTTATGACTTGATGAGTTGGGATGTGTCATTTTGGGATGGATTATCGTTTTCAGTATTCTATTCGAGACTTTTATTAAACAGTCGTGTTATCGACTTATGTGGATTTAGTATGTTTTATCGGATTTTTGCGCTGGTATTTTATAAAGAACTGGATGTTTATGGAAAAAGAGTTATTTGTTGTTAAAGTGATTTATGGTAACATGCCGTTCCCGAGAGAGGGTGAGACGGATGTTACACGTGGCACGCCGTTCCCGAGAGAGGGTGAGACGGGTGTTACAGTTTTGGTATCAGAGCGAGGTTTAGCTGACCCGGTTTTGACCCGGGGGCTGTTTAGAGTTAGAACGCTCGAGTATTCGGAATTTGTTTTTAAAACAAAAGTTGTTTCGGGAATGGGAGAATTTCTAAAAAAAAAAAAAAAAAATGATGACACACCTTTCTGTTGAGTATTAAGTGTATTGTTAGTAGCGTCCGCATCTCCGCTAAAGCTAATCGAGTTTCCTCCATTTCAGATGGGGACAATAGTTTTCTTTGGATTATTAAGTTGACTTGGAGAAGTTAACTTTATTTACCAATTAGCCAACATTAAAAAGAGAACTAGTGAGGACCATAGTTTTCTTGGACTGGCAAGTTAGTGTCAGAAGTTTGTATAAGAGTTTGCTATGGATAAACCAATGTTTTGACTCATAAGAATGGACGTGAAGTTCGAGTGGATGGAGGAGTGGGAGAGTAACTTCCAAATGGTTAACTGACATTTGACGGAAACAAGTGTTACTACGACCAAAGATGAGATTCCGAGATGGTTCTACAAAGTTCAAAGACGTGATTTTCTATCGAGCAAGTCAGTCTATTTTAGTCTTATGTATAGAGAGCACTTAAGGGAAGTGCTAAAAAGGGGTGGAGAGTAGTGTGGGCGGACCCCACACGACAACCCAATAATGTATTTCGACAAAGAACATGTTGTGATGTTTACAACAAAGTGTAAAGATAAGTTGTGGTAGCAAACACACAAGCCAAGTTATGCTTATGTATGGAGAACACTTAAGAAAATTATTACAAAGGAAGTGGCAAAGAGCAGTGTGGGAGGACACATTACGGTAATCTACACTATGAATGTTTTTTTTTAAGAATGTGGATGTGATAGAGTGTCATAACAAGAGGAAGTTATGCCAATGGGGTTGTGCTGTATTATTTCCATTGACTTCAGCGAAGTTATTTTTACCCGAAAGGAAAAGGGTATGGTGAATAAAATTTGCTATTGAACTGCCAAAGACGATTTACAATAAGGACACAACTTGGATAGTTGTAGAGCGGGCTAGGTCAAGATGAAAGGTGTCTGGGAGGAAAATTTTTATATTGTGGGTTTGGAGAAAGCCTTAAAAATGTTGGAATATAATCTTCAATCTGACTATATGGCAAAGGAATCCACTAAGGATATAGTGAAACGGAAATCACTAAGGACTTTGAGAAGACATTATTTTGGATTTGGAGTTTGCATAATGCAGGAAAGATATTCTGTGGCAAATGAGCAATTACGTGGAAAAAGTAATACTTCGAAAGAATAAGGATTTCAAAAAGAGTGTTAGGAAAACACTACGTGAGTTTTACAAGTTTGTAGCTGGGAGTTAGAATTGCAGAGTGAGTGCATCAGAATCGTTGTGGACCTTAATCAACGTGTCACATTAAACCATAACGGGCATGGTTAGAATCGTATTTCGGAGCATTGTTAAATAAAGACGTATGTTTGTGCATCAGTCATTTTTACAAAGACAAGGTAATGGAAAAACCGTTGTTGAAAATTTACTTGGAAATTTGGAAGATGAGTTTTCTGTTTAACTCAAGAAGGTTAAGCAACTATGACATTAGATGTTCCATGTGGTCATATTGCTTGACAATGGAATCAACCATATTCTAGGGGAAGAGTAGGTTATTAATTAAATCAAGAGCTAAATATGAGATTGCAAAGAGGGACTCCACACTGCGGAGAATAGTATGTTCATGTATAAGAACCGAATTAGGGTGCCAGATGCCAAAGGTCTGAAGGATGAGATCTTGGCACAAGCTCACAGTTCACGGTTTTCGGTTCACCCTGGAACGACTAAGATGTATCATGACCTAAAGCGGTATTATAATTGGACCAATATGGAACGTGATGTGGCTGCTTGGGTATCAAAGTGTCAGATTTGTCAGCAAGTAAAAACAGAGTATAAAGTTCCAAGTGGTTTACTCCAGAATTTACCCTTATCCTGGAACGACTATGATAACAATGGATTTTGTCACCGGACTTCCAACAACCACCAGGTGGTAAGAATGTCATTTGGGTGATCGTGGACCGACTCACCAAGACAGCTCATTTCTTGGCCATCAAGAAATTAGACAATGCAGATGTCTTAGCGCAGCTGTACCTAGACAAGATTGTTTCTAAGCATGGGGTGCCAATAAGCTTAGTGTCGGATCGGGATCCAAAAATTTACATATACTTTCTAGCAAGCTTTACAGAAGGCCTTGGGAACAAAGGTACGCCTTAGTACAACTTATCATCCCCAGACTGAGGGGCAGTCTGAGAGGACAATTCAAACGCTAGAGGACATGTTGAGAACATGCGTACTCGACTGGGAGGAGAACTGGCTCGAGTACCTACCCTTGGTAGAATTTGTGTACAATAACACTTATCACTCCAGCATGGGAATGGCACCATCTGAGGCTCTTTATGGTAGGCCGTGTCGTACCCCACTTTGTTGGACCGAAGTGGAGGAGTTCTGTGACTTAGAATCTATAATGGTTCAAGAAGCGGTAAAACAAGTTGAGATGCTCAAGAGTCGACTGAAGGAAGCACATGACCGTCAGAAGAGCTATGCAGACAAGCGCAGGAACGATTTAGAGTTCGAGGTGGGTGACTTAGTATACCTTAAAATGAGGACATTTCAGGAAGCGCTAAGACTCGAAAACTAAAGAAGCTTAAGCCGAGGTCCCATGTACCGTATCCTATTGTTGAGCGGATTGGAGCAGTAGCCTACCGTTTGGGTTTATCGACAGAGTTGTCAGACTTCCATGATGTGTTCCACGTGTCAGTTTTGAGAAAGGTTGTCAGAGAGCCAAAGCTTATTTTGCAGCATCCGCCTAGGGTTCTCCGTAAGAATCTGACAGTACCGAGTCGACCAGTTGAGATTTTGGAGCGGCAAGAACAAGTCGTACAGGGAAAGATGGTGGTAAAGATCAGGGTTCGTTGGGAGAGTGACGGGATCCAGGAGGAAACTTGGGAGTCCGAAGATGAGATGAGGTCAGACTACCCAGAGCTGTTTTGGATGAGAATGAGCATGCGAATGAGGATTTGAATTCGAGGACGAATTCCTTATTAGTGGGGAAGAATTGTAACAACCCATTTAAGGCCCAAGGCCCATCCGCTGAAGCCCATGAGGCCCAATTCTTTGACCTAGGTATCCTCCTCTATTCCTCTATAAATACCCTCCTCTATCTCTCATTTTTCCCACAACTCTCCTGAGTAGTATTACTCTGCAGAAATCTCGCCAGAGTTAGCACCACCGAACCGCCGTCCACCCTCTCCCGTAACCGAGCCGACCAAGCCAACGGAAAGCTTAGTCGAAGGTAACTCCTAAAACCGAGTTTTAAAGGTTTTAGTTTCGGGCCGTTTAGTATTTTCAAGATTTCTCCCTAACCGCTTCGAATCTCGCAAAACCAAGGGTACCATCGGATTCGTGACGACGAGAAGAAGCCGGAGACACCAAGCGCTGCCACCGCCGACGAGCCACGCGCCGCCACGCGCCGGAAGAAGGAAGCGCGTGACGCCCACGCGCAGCCACGCGCCGCCGAGTCCTCGGAGCGTGGAGCTCACGCGCCGCCGCCGGTGACCGGAACCGCCGCTGTTCTCCGGAGCCGCCGTGACCGGCAGCCGTCCGTTCGCCGCCGGGATTCCGCCGCCGCGTCGTCGCCGGACCGCCGTCGCCGGACCGCCGTCGCCGCCGGTGACTTTTCCGGTAAGGTTCGCCGGATTTGTTGCCGCCGACCGGTTTGGGTTAACCGGTCGGTTTAAATTGATTTAATCCGGTTGAAATCGATTTGGTCTTGGTTTAGGTTAACCGGTTGGTTTAAATCAATTGATTCTCGGTTTAGGATAACCGTTCAGTTTAAATCAATTGATTCTCGGTTAAAGTTAACCGGTCGGTTTAAATCAATTGATTTCTGGTTTAAGTTAACCGGATCGATTTGACTGGTTGGACCGTTGACCGTTGACTGTTGACCGTTGACTTTGACCGTTGACCGTTGACTTTGACCAGTTGACCCGAAAACCGTTTTTCTTCGTTCGGACGCCGTTTGACTCGATTTTTCGTTCCGGTTTCAGATCCGGAGTCGGTTTATTCATTCGAGGTCCAGAAGTCGTAGGTTCAGCATTGCTAAGGTGAGGGCTATTTCCAAACCGCTGTGCTTTGTTCGAGAATCCTAATTTACGAATAGTGCAGCACTGAATGTGATGTGTTTCAATGATCGAGTCTAGTTAGTTTGATTGCTTAAATTGGACATAGGAAGATAGATGATTAAACCCATTTGTTTGTCACATACTGTTAAATGTTTTTTTGTTATAAATATATATATATATATATATATATTATATGAGATATAGCGGATACAGATAAAGGAACTTCTGTATGGTGCCGCATTGTTTGAGGTAGGGGTGAGGGCAATGCATAATCGATCTGTTGCCCTCCACCTTAAGATCGATAAGCGTCCCAGGGGCGGTGTGAGTGGGCACTATCCCATGAGTTACCTCTGTGTGAGGGTGTGATTGGGCACTATCCCATAAATGATCTCGTTGAGGGTGTGATTGGCCACTATCCCTCCGTAGGAAAATTGTATGTTGATTGAGCACTGTAGGTGCTGTGTTTGCTCATATTTTGTACTCCATTATTTTGCGATTAGTTTTCTTGGCTGAGTCAGTGACATGCGGACTTAGCATCCCATACCTCACTGAGCGACTCCCCTGTTGCTCACCCCTCTTTCCCCATTTCAGGTGAGCCAGACGAGTAGTTATGACTTGATGAGTTGGGATGTGTCATTTTGGGATGGATTATCGTTTTCAGTATTCTATTCGAGACTTTTATTAAACAGTCGTGTTATCGACTTATGTGGATTTAGTATGTTTTATCGGATTTTTGCGCTGGTATTTTATAAAGAACTGGATGTTTATGGAAAAAGAGTTATTTGTTGTTAAAGTGATTTATGGTAACATGCCGTTCCCGAGAGAGGGTGAGACGGATATTACACGTGGCACGCCGTTCCCGAGAGAGGGTGAGACGGGTGTTACACTTCTTCTCAACTTCAACTTCAAACTTCCTAATGGGATGAAAGCAGATGAGATCAATATGGATGTCATGACGGGTCTTGCTATGCATAAGTCGCAGCATCTCAAGCTTGTTCCCGAGAAAGTGAACAAATAGTCAAATAAATCTATCACTGTGGTTATATAATATATGTTCTTATAGTTCATTTTGCTTCAAGGTTTGGTTTCTTTATTAAATGTTAGTCCTCTCTCTTATCTTTGTACCTTTCTCTTAATATTTTCATCAAGGAAGCAATTTACGTTGATGTCTTTTGTGATTCTTATATGTATCGGTGGATGGCTACAAAATTTGAGGTAAATATGATTTAGTAGCTAAGCTTTGAAAGGGTAGACATTTCGGTTTATTTTTCAGGTTTGGTTCGGGTTTGGTTAATTCAGTTTTACAAAAACTCTAACTGAACTCAAACCAAAACTCTAGTTTTGTTTGGTTGGTCTTAATTCGGTTTAATTATTCATATCTAAGCAAGAAAGAGATGTCAATTTAATTATTTAAACAAACACCTATAAAAAAACTAGGTAAAAGAAACTAAGTACTCCAATCATTAAAACCAAACTTAGAAAAGAAAAAAAAAAAATGAAGAGAAAAAATCTAACCAAATCTTCAATTGTGAGATGAAAGTTAAAAGCATACAAACAAATCATATAATATAATAGGACAGTTCTTTTTCAAAATAGAGTGAAACACCCCAACCCATTTTTTTTTATTTAAATAAACTCATGTCTAGTGATCCCATACTCACTAAACACCTCAACACAATCAACGGGAAAGAGCATTAAAGTCTTAAAAATAAATCCAATAAAATAACCAATAGTTCAACAATAACAAATCTCAACTCAAAAATTTATGAAAAGCAACCTAGGTGAAAGTTCTATCTCTCTGAACTAACAACCTAGCAAAACAGACACAACAACGATGATCACAACACACGAACATCTAGATCATCCCCTCTTCCTCGCCACGATTCCACGTCACACTTTGCCTTTACCTGCATCACAACACGAATGAGATGCGTAAGTATTATCATAAATACTTAGTGAGGCAATCCTCCCAAGCAACAGGCTATACACACAAGCAATAGAAACAATACACAAAAACAGCAAACTCAAACAAACCAGACAACCAGACTTTCTGACGAACATGTGTCGATCGACACACGACCTCCGTGTCGATCGACACTCAGCCCGATTGGTGTCGATCGACAGACACTCCCTGATCGACACCTTGCCCGATCTGTGTCGAACGACACCTTCCATTGGTGTCGAACGACACCTTCCATTGGTGTCGAACGACACCAATCGCGCAGGCACTTTTCCAGCGATTTCCACATCGCGAATTCTCCTTCTCCAGTGCCCTAATTAGACCAGCGACTCACACACAGGCCACACAAGGACCCAGCAAGGCAATCACGACCAAGCAAACACACAAAACAGTATAACTCATCAAATCAACACATAAACGGTTCACACAAAGGATCTAATGCTCAGATAAGCCCTCAGTCATGCACTCACCTCTTCTCTGGAAGAAAACTGAACAAAACTGCACGAACACAGGAAGGAGAACGACCCCTACAAGCTTCTCAACGCACCACCGGACTTAGATCTCCTTCACCACTAGGAAATCTCTCAGAAACAGGCTCAGGAACTCACAGAAAGGCTCTCAGGAACTTTTCTCTCTAAAACTCTCTTGGAAAACGATAAAATGGCTGATGAAAGCCCTAGGTCGCATTCCCTGAACCTTATAAACGAGCCCATTAGGGTTTTCCTTCCCTAAACCGAACGAAATCGAAACCGAACGAAATCGCACAATCGAAAGCCCAAAAGCCCAATTGTCGAAAACGTTAGTGTCGATCGACACACCCTAATGGTGTCGATCGACACGCTGAACCGAAACCTGGTTCGCGGGCGTTACAATTCTCCCCTAGCTTAACACCTCCAATCCGCAAACTCTGAACAACCGAAACGTCGGTCCGCACTTTCTCCAATCCGACCCCTCCGGGTCCCAGCTTAGCCGATATACTCCCGACTTCCGCTAGTCATTGTTGCTCACGACTCCAATACTGCTCTCAGACCGCAGTCTTTGAGCATAAACCGCTACTCTCAGGCCTCGGCCTACGGTATCTCAGGTATCGAATGTATTATCCTCCCCGCTCACAGGTCAAAACCCAGAGTTGTGTCCGCTCACTATCAGCCACAAAGTCATCAAGTTCCGACACTTGGAGAAGATAATACTACAAACTCGCTGTCGGGTCGTCACCCTAAAGAGCGTGCTCTCGGATCGTCACCCGAAGCCACCGTACCCAACGCACTCTAAAGACACCAAGTCCCTCAAATACCGGTACCTCTGGAGCATACTCCGCTCCTCTCAAGTCATCAGGACACTCAAGTCCCGGAGCAACAATACTAACCGCTTTCGAGTACTCCCTCGAACTTTCCAAAAATAGAAATTCCACTTGAGGAAACTTTCCCTTTTTAGAAACCGCTCAATACATTCTTAAATAAGACAACTCAAGTCAAATCCAAGAAATACTCATCTTATTAATCTCAAAATGTCATAATCGTTACAACTCCAAACGAAAATACATAATGAAAGAAAAATAAGAACAACAACTCAAAACTCAAAAACTCCAAAAACTCTGAAAACTCTGAAACTGGAAACCAAGGATAGGCACTCAAGCAGCCGCCTGCTTCTCGAACCACTTCCCGAACTTTGCCTTCATCCTCGCCTCTGGCTCCCAAGTCTCCTCCGACACACCGTCGCAGTCCCACTGGACTTTGATCAAAGGAATCTTCTTCCGCCGAAGTTCCTTGATCCTCCTCTCAAGAATCCTCACTAGTCTCGCCTCCAAAGTCATGTTGGGCTGAAGATCCTCAGAAATCCTAGCCAACACCTGATCATCCTTGTGAAGACACTTCCTCAGCATCGACACATGGAACACCTTGTGGAACGCGCGCATGACCTCTGGCAACTCCAGCATGTATGCCACTGGTCCCACCCTCTCAACAATCTCAAACGGACCCATGTACCTCGGACTCAACTTATTCTCAGAGATAGATCTGTTCGGACCTCGCAACATGGCCATCTTAAGGTACACTCTATCCCCAACCTCGAACTCAAGCTCTCTCCTCCTCTGGTCAGCATAACTCCGCTGACGATCCTGAGCTTCCTTCATGTTCAGCTTCAGAACCCGAATCCTCTCGGAAGTCTGCTGAACAAAGTCTGCACCATATATGCTCCTCTCTCCCACTTGGGTCCAGTAAAATGGTGTCCTGCATGGCTTCCCATACAACGCCTCATAAGGAGCCATCTGAATACTCGCCTGGTAGCTATTGTTATAAGCAAACTCCACCAGACTCAAGTGATCAGCCCAATGACCACCCCAATCCAAGACACACATTCGCAACATATCCTCCAGTGTCTGGATAGTCCTCTCAGATTGCCCATCTGTCTGAGGATGATACGCCGTACTCAAATGCACCTTAGTGCCCATCTCTGCCTGAAAGGCATCCCAGAAAGCTGAAGTAAACCTGGGGTCCCTGTCCGACACAATACTCACAGGTACTCCATGCAACTTCACGATCTCGCTCACATACTTCTTAGCCAAAACCGCCACTCCATTAGTCTTTCTGAAGGCCAGAAAATGTGCTGACTTAGTCAGACGGTCCACGATCACCCAAATAACATCCTTGGTCCGTGACACAGGCAAACCAACCACAAAGTCCATAGTGATCATATCCTACTTCTACTCCGGAATGGGCAAACTCCGCAACAGACCACTAGGAACCTGATGCTCAGCCTTCACCAACTGGCAAACGTCGCACTTAGCGACCCAGTCAGCTACATCCCTCTTCATCCCAACCCAATGATAGTACCGCTTGAGGTCTCGATACATCTTGGTCGCTTCCGGATGAATGGAAAACATGCTCGCATGAGCCTCTCTCAAGATCTCACGCCGCAACTCCTTATCTTAGGCACGCAAACCCGCCCATGCACAAGGATAGTCCCATTAGCTGCGAACTGATACTTAGAGCCCTCTGCCTTAGAAGCCGCAATCAAACCTTCGTCCTTCTCTTGAGCCAACCGCACTCTACTCAGAAGATCTGCATGATCCACAGCCTCCAACCCCAACGGCTCTCGGGTAATAGCACACAACCGCAACGCACCAATCTCGCTCGCCAAGGCTTCCACTCTGCCCTGGAGCAGCCCACACGCTTACGGCTTAGTGCATCAGCAACCACATTAGCTTTACCAGGATGGTAAGCTATCTCCAGATCATAATCAGCCACCAGCTCCATCCACCGCCTCTGGCTCAGGTTCAGCTCTGGCTGAGTGAAGATATACTTCAAATCTCAACTCAAGAATTTATGAAAAGCAACCTAGGTGAAAGTTCTATCTCTCTGAACTAACAACCTAGCAAAACAGACACAACAACGATGATCACAACACACGAACATCTAGATCATCCCCTCTTCCTCGCCACGATTCCACGTCACACTTTGCCTTTACCTGCATCACAACACGAATGCGTAAGTATTATCATAAATACTTAGTGAGGCAATCCTCCCAAGCAACAGGCTATACACACAAGCAATAGAAACAATACACAAAAACAGCAAACTCAAACAAACCAGACAACCAGACTGTCTGACGAACATGTGTCGATCGACACACGACCTCCGTGTCGATCGACACTCAGCCCGATTGGTGTCGATCGACAGACACTCCCTGATCGACACCTTGCCCGATCTGTGTCGGACGACACCTTCCATTGGTGTCGAACGACACCAATCGCGCAGGCACTTTTCCAGCGATTTCCACATCGCGAATTCTCCTTCTCCATTGCCCTAATTAGACCA